GTGTTCATCTCAACTATTTTTTTTTTTTTTTTTTTTTTTTTGTACGAATTCAGCTAAAATCTAACTTCATGTTTCTTATAATCAGTCTCACAAATACTTGTATAGAATCAGTCTGAATTCAGCTAAAATCTAACTTCATGTTTCATTTGGTGGCTGTGATACATATACAGAATATGGCTACAAGGACCTTGTATTATTCTTAGTGCCAGAAAACGACGTTCGGTTTAGGAGTGAAACCTGATGCTATAACATATACTTGATCTGCAGAATTCACTATCCTAAGTCTTAACCAGATCAAGCCATCGAATCCACTACACTTCTCAGTTTCAGTGTATTGAAAGAAAATGTAAATGTTGTCCTTCTCATTAAGCGAATAGGTATGCATCTAAAAACATGTACTTGTTTTGGTACAGAGGATTCTAATTTGCTATATACACAAGAAAACACCAACACTCTCTGTGTTATTGTTCATCACCCATATTCAACATCTGCTACCATTATAACCAACACATTCACTTATTCAGTATAGTACTCGGGCTTTACCCTTTTGCTGTTTTTCAGTGACCGACTCCTTACGGTGCATCTTGTTCTAGAGTTTCAGCTTCCCTCTCACCTTCTCCAGCTGTTTCACCAAAACTATATTAATATCAATATGCAAGAAGATACATTTATTACTTTCGGTAATTGTTGACACTTACCACTTTCTTTATTTGATCACTGGCAGCACGAGTTCCTCCGGTGACACAATCAGAATGGTAAGGGCTACTAATACGCACATTTTCCATTACCACAATGACTTTGTTATCCCACTGTACATTATACCTGGCACATAAACACTCAATTAAAAAGAGTAAGTGTTGCCCCTGACACTTTCACCAGCTGACATATATAAGAGTCTAAAGCCATTTGCCATGCCAAGTTCTTAGTAACTAAACCAAGAAAGCTTGTATACAGCATAAGTAGCCTATAATCATCTCGAATCTAATAAAAGCAAACTCACCCAATGGTAACATAAACTAGCTGACTACTTTCTTTGCAATCTAATCAATCCTTGCAAGAAAATACAATTTACAAATACTGAAGCAAGACTAAAGACGCTCATAGCTGCAAATACTGAAGCAAGACTTAAGACGACCCATAGAATAAATACATTGTTATCACAAAAAGCATGCATCTTCAGCAAACCAAGAGAAACACTCACGATAAGCTGAATCGAAATCAAACACAATTATCTCACAAAAACTAAAAGGGAAGTCCTAATGATTCACAGTTCTTTAAACAATCAACCCACTCAAGACCTCGTTTCCATTCGCAAAAGCTGTTTTAACAATCAAAGTATAGAATCAACCTAGGCTTTTCTTATCATTCGTGGCACAAGAACTAACCTAAACTACAAAGATTCAAAAGAACCAATAAGAACCAAAAGATCCTTACGTCTTAGACAAAGCGTCCAAGATCAAACACACTTATCTGACAATCTCACAAAAACTAAAAGGGAAGTCCTATTGATTCACAGTTCCTTAAACAATCAACCACTCAAGACCTCGTTTCCATTCCCAAAAAAATGTTTAACAATCACAGTACAATCAACCTAAACCACAAGAAGATTCAAAGAACAATGAGAATCAACAAATCCTTACGTCTTAGCCAAAGCGTCGAAGATCTTTTGCGCCTCTGCAGTAACACCAACACCAATGCTCTCAACTTTCCTGCATAATAAGTTTCCTCATAAGCTCAAATCAATCAAAACGAGTGAATCATTCAACTCAATCACACCTAATAGCTTCTTTCTCTTTCGATTCGAGTTCACAGAGATTAACGAAACGCTTTTCCTTATTCGAAGCGAGCGGATCTTCGAACTTTCCAATTAACGTCGCCTCGGATATAAATTTCGCCTTCACCGTCCGTGTAGTCATCGACTTACCAGTTTCCGGCTTCGTTCCCTCTTGTGAAAACTCACAGTCAAGGATTACATCTCAAGAACACTAACTAAGCAAATAGATAAAAGAAACTAAATCCGAAAGGATATGGAAGACGACGACGTTTGGATCAGAGTCGTATGCCAAGACGATCCCCTTGAACTCGATTCCAGTCGTCAGCTTCACCTCGTATGCCTTCCCCACCTCGTACTCATCTCCGTTTACTCCACCTTCGACTGCCGCCGTCGCCGTCGCGTTTGCTGGATTCATGGCGGCGATTCGAACTTCCTCCTATTCGCGCTCCCGCTGGTGATTGCTGAGTTACGGTTTTGGAAAAAGTGACGGTTGGGAAATATCTTGTAACCGTAAATGGGCCTAACAGATATCTTTTAATGGGCCTAACGTAGCTGATATAGAATGGCTTCAATTGCATATTTTGGTTCACGTCAGTTAATTATTTCCGGTTCAGGAGATTATTGCAAGCTAAAGTAAGGTCCCAATCGGACCCTAAATCTTTTTTGACCCACAAATTGTTAAAAACCAGTTCCAAAATCGTCAAATAATCAGTTTAACTTTTTGGTTCGTTGTTTGGTAGAAGAGCCTCTCTAACCAAATCTATATTTTACTGCAGAATAGAATTAAATGAAGAACAAATAAGGCTAAAAGATGCGGTTACTAGCGACAAAAAAGGCGATCTGGTTCCCATCGGTTCGCAGACGATTTCTACACCTTTCCGACGCCATTACGGCGGCGATTCTCTATTTTCTCGGTGATGGCACATCATGGGGACTCTCTCAATTCCATCATCTGACAGTTATACCCACGATTCACCCCCACGATCGTGATGCTATCTCTTTACAACTGCCATTTTGGAATCTCTATTTATTCCAAATGGGAATCATTCGATGGCTACACAATCCATTTCTTATCTACTGGTATTACTTTCTATATTCTCTCTTATCAATGGCGGATAATCTTCGTCGTGGAATTCAGAACATTGATTTGGGCGCAAATGATCCTCCTTTCCAACTCCCGGAGTATGTGGTGAATGCTGCGGAAGCGGAGAATCGCTTTGTCCTCATTGGTCGCCCTGTAATGCCACGGCGACAAAACCTACGGTCAATTATTGCTACATTACCGCGTAACTGGGGACATGAAGGAGTTACTGGTCGTTTGGTGGAAGGACGGAGATTCCAGTTCATCTTCCCTTCGGAGGAGGCACTGGAGATGGTTTTAAGAAGAGGACCATGGGCTTTTGCTGATCGAATGCTCATCCTCGAACGTTGGACTCCACAGTTTGATCCCCTGATGCTCAACTTCATTCCTTTCTGGATACAGATCCGTGGTATCCCGATGCAGTTTATGAGTCAACAAGTGGTGATGCACATTGGAAGAGCTTTGGGAATGTATTTGGAGGTTGATTACAATTCCGAAGTAGCAACCAGGAGGGAGTATGCCCGAGTTCGTGTCAATTGGAATGTTGATGAGCCTCTTAGGTTTCAAAGACATTTCCAATTTACTGCAGGGATTAATACTCTCTTGCGATTCACTTTTGAAAGGCTAAGAGGATTTTGTGAAGTCTGTGGGATGCTTACTCACGACTCTGGAGCATGTCTGATCCAAAATGGAGGCCCTCCCAATGATAATGGTGGAGATCAGAGTGACGATGATGAAATGGTTCCCCCTGATGTCAACCAAGGAGTGATCATTGAAGAGATTGTTGAGGAGGAGGAACAAGAAGGAGTTGTACCTGTTACATCAACCATTAGGAATGCTGCAGAGGAGGATGTTGTGAATCCTGAAGAAGAGATGGAGGAGGAAGCAGAGGAAGACACTGAGTATGATGAGCTCTGGAGTAACCAAGCAATGCGCACTATGTACTCAGATGATCTAAACCGTGAAGAGATGTATAACCCGATTGATCCTTTTGGTTTGAAGGCTGATGAAGATAATAAGAAGAGGTTGGCTGGGAAAGAACATCTTAAAAGAAAGATGTGGATGGATTCGGCTGATGACAACAAGAAGCGGTTTGCTTACATGGAAAGAGGTGAATCAAGTGGGACAGCAAATCAGAAAAGAAGAAAGGAAGTGGAAGATGATGGTGCTAGTGGTGCTGAAACAACAACTGCTGGAGAGGATACATCAACCCAAAAGAGAGGCGCGGTGGGCCCAGAACCACCAGTGCCACCATGAGGACAGCCTGTTGGAACTGTCGAGGGCTGGGCATTGACTCGACAGTTCGACGCCTTAAGGAGATCAACAGGTTGTATCTCCCGGACATTATCTGCCTGTCAGAAACGAAGCAAGATGATGATTATGTTCGTGATGTAGGAGCACAAATGGAGTTTCTTAATTATGTTTCAGTACCACCGATAGGATCTAGTGGAGGTTTAGTTATCTTTTGGAAGCAGAATGTACAAGTTTCAGTTTTAAGTCAGTCCGCTAATCTTGTAGATTGTCAAGTTTCTAGTAATGAAGTTTCTTTCTATTTTTCCTTTGTCTATGGTAACCCAAACCCTCCTCTTCGACATCTTGTATGGGAAAAATTAGAACGGATTGGTATAAATAGAAGACACCAGGCGTGGGTTTTAATGGGTGACTTCAATGAGATAGTTGGGAATCATGAGAAGATAGGAGGCAGAGTGCGTGCAGAATCATCTTTTCAAGATTTTTGTAATATGATACGTCACAACAACTTGACTGATATCAAATCTATTGGTGATAGATTTTCTTGGGTTGGTCAGAGAGGTGTTCATCGAGTTCAGTGTTGTTTAGACAGAGTCATGGCAAACACAGAATGGATGGAGTTGTTCCCTGCTTCTGAAAATCAGTATTTGGAAATTGGAGAGTCTGATCATCGCCCAATGATCACACACATTGGTTTTGAAATAAACCAACCAAAAAGAATGTTTAGATATGATAGTCGTCTACACTCCAAAGATGGTTTTAAAGAGTCTGTGAGCAGAGGATGGCATGGCACGGGTCAAGCACAGTTGGTTCAGATTCCATTGACACAAAGATTAAGTCGGTGTAGGCATCATATTTCTAGATGGAAGAGGAGCAATAGAAGTAATGCAAAGGAGTGTATTACTGTTCTCAGAGCAAAATTGGACAAAGCTATCACTTCTAATACTTCTAGTCAGCTGAAAGACATCAAATAAAGGAAGAACTAGATCAAGCCTATAAGGATGAAGAAGTATATTGGAAACACAAGAGTAGAATTACGTGGTTGCGAGCAGGAGACAGAAACACTTCATATTTTCATGCAATTGCTCGAGGAAAGAAAGCTAGAAACACAATCACATCTATTCAAGACGATGCGGGTGTGGCTCAGCGTGGACAGGAAAATATGGGCAGAGTGGCTCAAGAATATTTTCAAAAATTATTTACCTCTGCAGATATTTCCCAGAGTATGTATGATAGTGTTTTTGATGGCTTCACGACAAGAGTTACTACAGCAGTAAATACAGAGCTAACAAGAGAGGTCACATTGCAGGAAATTACTGACGCAATGTTTGATATAGGTCCGCATAAAGCTCCTGGTCCAGACGGGTTTACTGCGGTTTTCTATCATCAGTTTTGGGATGAACTGAATGAGGAGATCATCACGGAGGTGCAAAAGTTTTTTGATACTGGTGTATTGGATCCACAATTGAATCACACGAATATTTGTCTGATCCCCAAAGTTTATCCTCCTACTGGTATGGCAGAATTCAGACCGATCGCCCTTTGTAATGTAGTATACAAAGTAATCTCTAAGGTTTTGGTTAATCGACTCAAGACGCATCTGAGTAGCATGATTTCAGAGAACCAACAAGCTTTCATACCGGGAAGGATTATCACGGATAATATAATAGTGGCTCATGAAATCTTTCATAGTCTTAAGGTCAGAAAACGACAAGCCTCTTCATATATGGCTGTCAAAACTGATATCACTAAGGCATATGATAGATTGGAATGGAAATTCCTAGAGGAAACAATGGTGAGGATGGGATTTGCAAGTAAATGGATCAAGTGGATAATGACCTGTGTATCCACTGTTTCATTCTCTGTTTTAATAAATGGAGCACCAGAGGGTTATTTTGCACCAGGTAGAGGGATCAGGCAAGGTGATCCCTTATCACCATATCTATTTATCTTATGTGCAGAAGTTCTATCACATATGATGAATAAGGCGATGGAGAACAGATCTTTATTAGGTATCAAAATAGCTCTTCAAGCCCCACCGGTAAATCATCTGTTATTTGCTGATGATTCTTTATTTTTCTCCCTCGCCAATCCGAAGTCTGGAAGGAAATTAAAGAAGGTTCTTTCAGATTATGAAGCTGTTTCAGGCCAGTCAGTTAATCTTAGTAAATCTTCGATTACTTTTGGTAGTAAAGTCTCGGAGGTGGTTAAAACTAGGATGAGGAATATTTTGGGAATTCATAATGTTGGTGGCATTGGGAAATATCTAGGCATGCCTGAGCAGTTTGGTAGAAGTAAGAAAGATATGTTTACCTATATTATAGAGAAAGTTAAGGCAGTTACTCAAGGATGGAGTAAGAGATATCTTTCTCAAGGGGGGAAGGAGGTTTTATTGAAAGCAGTGGCTTTAGCTATGCCAATCTTCTCTATGAATGTATTCCGACTACCAAAGGAGGTTTGTGATGAAATAACTACAGTATTGGCTAAGTTTTGGTGGGGTTCTAAAGATAAGAAAGGGATGCATTGGTATGCTTGGAATAGAGTATGTTCTCCTAAACGTGAAGGAGGACTTGGATTCAGAGATTTGCAAAGATTTAATCAAGCTCTCTTGGGTAAACAAGTGTGGAGAATCATGCAAAATCCTGAGTGCTTAATGGCAAGAGTATTAAGAGCTCGATATTTCCCTGAAGGCAACGTGCTCAATGCCGTACAGAGAAAGAAAGCTTCGTATGCATGGAAGTCGATTTTGTATGGAAGGGATCTTGTGAAGCAAGGACTGAGATATGTAGTGGGGGATGGTACTTTGATCAATACTTGGACTGACCCATGGATACCGGATCATACTCCAAGAGCACCACGAGCACGTATAGGGAATCCTACATTTGGGAAACTCTGTGAATTATTTAGGGCCGATGGACATGGATGGGATGAACAGAAGGTACATGAGTTAGTATACCCGGAAGATGTCCCAAAAATTCTCTCTATTAAGGTCTCTCCTTATGCTAAGCTAGACTTACTAGGATGGAATTATAATGAGAATGGTTTATATTCAGTGAAATCTGGATATTGGTTGGCTACACATCTTCCTAATCAAGAAAACTTCCAACCAACTGATGGTAATGTTCGTCTCAAACAGCAATTATGGAAGACAAATATGCCTTCAAAGCTACATCATTTTCTTTGGAGAGCTTTATCTCGCAGTCTACCAACAGGAAACAATTTGAAACGAAGACATGTTACAAATGATGATTTGTGTAAGAGATGTTGGCAGGAGGTTGAAACAGAGAAACATCTACTTTTCGACTGTATGTATGCTCAACGATGTTGGAGAGAGTCGGGTATTGGTAATTCTATCATCTGTGATCCAAATGCCACCTTGGACGAAAAGATTGAAGCGTGTTTGCAGTGTTGTACATCAGGAAGACTGTCACATTTACAAAATCTACCATTCTGGATCCTTTGGAGGCTTTGGAAGAGTCGAAATCTTCTTATTTTTCAAAAAAAGAGTCTTCATTGGAGATTATTATTGATGCACGCGAGGAACGATGCTCAGGAATGGAAGAACCATAATGATACTGACGTCTCTGCACCAGAGAGAAGATATTTCAGTGGGAGAAATGGGAGAAGACAAAAGGATCAAAATACTTGGACAAGACCAGCTCGAGGATGGATCAAGTGTAATGTTGATGGTTCTTTTATTCAAGTAAACATGCCAAGTAAAGCAGGATGGATACTACGTGATGAAGAAGGATTCTACCTGGGAGCAGGCCAAAGCGTTGGTAGGAATGTTACTAATCCTCTAGAATGCGAGTTACAAAGTATTCTTATTGCAATACAACATTGTTGGAGTCGGGGATATAGAAAGGTGGTCATCGAAAGCGATTGTAAGAAAGCGATTGATCTACTTAACAGAAAAGGTCTCAATTTTGGGAGCTATAATTGGATCAGAGAAACGTTGTGGTGGAAACAAAGATTTGAAGAATTGGAGTTTAAATGGGTTAACAGAGCAAGTAATGGAGTAGCAGACAAGTTAGCAAAAGCAGATATTCCTAATAACAGCTCGTTTTATTTTCATAATTATGTACCAAGTTTCATTACTATGCTTTTGCATAATGACTTTGTAATCTCTTCATGAAGTAATATAATAGCCGTTAAAAAAAAAAGAGCCAATTTGACTTGAATTCTTGTATTTTATACCGTTCGCGAACCCCACTGACACGTAGTAGTCCGCCATTGATTCTTTTCAATTTTTTTGTTGATTTAAATCAGACAAAAATAAAAATAAATAATAAAAATCCCAAATGAGGTTTTAGCGTTAATCATGTTCTAAGTGACCCAAAAACCCAATTTCTAACTTGTCCATGACTCATTTTGACAATTCTCTTGTTTATTATAGACATACATGAACAGAAAATGAAGTAGTCCTATTCCAATTGTCATAATTAAACATAATCGTAGTTATCGTACGAATTGATACAAATTCAATATAATGATAAGAAGAAAACAATCAAAACAACAAATTAAACGGTTCAATGCAACTAAATCTAGAACTTTTATTTTAAGCCGTCCGTCTGAAAATTAACGATCACCTCGTAATGATCATTTATTTTCTTAAAAATTGGTGGTGGGTGGTTAAGGAGTTTTTTAAGGGAGGGGGGTCCAAAAATTGTTAAAACCGGTTCCAGAAATCGTCAAATAAGAGTCGATTTTATTTGGTTCTTATACTGCTCGCGGGCTCTACTGATACATGACAGTCCACACTTGATTCATTTTTAGATTCTTCTATTTTATTTTAAATCAGACAAAAAAATAACAATTCCAAATAGGATTTTAGCGTTAATCATGTTCTAAACTGACCCAAAAAATCCAATTTCTAACTTGTCCATGACCCACTTGGACAATTTTCTTCTTAACTATATACATACATGAACAGAAAGTGAAGTAGTCCAAGTCCAATTATCATAATTAAACAGAATCGTAGTTGTTGTCAGAACTGATACAAATTCAATATTTTATTGATAAGAAAAAAATAATCAAAACAACAATTTAAACGGTTCAATGCAACTGAGTCTAGAATTTTTATTTGAAGCAGTTCTTCAAAAACCGTCTGAAGATCATCGATAGTCTCTTAATGGTCATTTATTTTTTTAGAAATCTATACCCTAGGATCAGAAGATAAAGGGAGACATAATGACATATTGCTCCAAAACCTATTACATAAATTAAGAAACTGCAACATCACCCTCAAATTCCATCTGGACCAACCTCTGCTTGACCGTTCTCTGAACCACCAAACTGATTGTCACCCTAAAAAAACAGTAAAGTCTTCTATGTCACCATTAGGTAGAGGATCATCATAAAAAACAGGAAGGCCGCCTTCATAACCACCACTGTAACCACCACCGCCTCCATATGCGTACTTCACCCTAATTCTTCGACCATGAAGGTACTGTGTTCCAGAAAACAAAAACAAAAAAAAAATAAATGGACAACACACGAAGCAAAGAAGAATCAGAAAATAAGCATGGTGTTTGAAAACAGTGATTTTATTAAAGAAGAGTCAACAAAAAAAGAATGACTCAAAGCTCTCCGTTTCAGCCATTCATTAAGAGATAGAGCATGTCACTGCCTAACGAATGAATGATTTTTATTATTTCAGGCTAGATGATGATACCAATGTGACCACACACAAAAAAAAAAAACTTAATTGTTTTAGAAACATGCATACATTGTCCAGAGTTGAAAAAATCGAGAACAAGACAATGAATCATGACAAAGGAATAAGGCAGATGAAGAATTTAAAAGAGGGTGGAACATAAGATTACCTGTCCATCCAAGTGCATCATGGCATTAGTAGCCCCCTTGTTAGAAGTAAATGTCACGAAAGCAAAACCCCTCGATCTACCAGTTTCACGGTCCACAACAACTCTGGCTGTCAAAATATATTGATGATAAAAACAAACTAGTTAGCTCCCCTCCGAGTAAAGAAAAACAAAGAGGTCATAACTACTCCAAAGGCTAGAGAGAGAGAGTTTTACAGTAACTTAAAAGCGAGAGATAGATAGCAAACTACCAGAATAAACTCGTCCATATCGGCCAAAAGCTTCTCCCAAGTCATACTCATCAGTGCTGTAGGAGATACCTGAATCCAACATAGACATTAACTCACCATGAGACCAACAACCAAACAGAGACTAACAAAAAAAAAAAAAAAAGAAGAGTTAATAATAGTAGTCACCTCCAACAAAGAGTCTTACATAAGAAGAAGAAGACATGCTACGGATGCTCCTCTGTAGCATCAAGTTAGAGGCAGTGACATGAGTGCTAGTCTGCCTAAGTGTCCTTCCAACTTTACTTAACAAAGCCAAAGCCATGTTACTTATGTTGTGCGTATCTGGTGTATTCTCAAAGCAAAGACAAGTGACTCAAAAACAGAATACAGATATTGATGAAACTCATGAACAAGCGGAAGACCCATCAAGTAACAAAAATGCAGCCTTTCATTAAAAAAAACAAACAACACGAAAGATACAAACTTTACACCGTGACCTGGTGACAAAGATGTTTTTAACCCATAAATCACTCAATAGTCAGAAGAAGAATGAAAGGAAACATCAAATTAGCACAATATAAAAAGAGAACTCTTAGGGTTGCAGGAAAGAATCATAATAATAGCAGAAACCCAGCAAACAGAGAACAATCTAATAAGTTTCGGATCAGGGAACGAAACATCAGCATGGACGAAACTAAACTCACTCTCTAGGGTTTAACGGAGAACGATCTCTCAGGAAGCGTCTTTCAATTCTCGCCTCGCCGGGGCTTATCTCAATCACAGGTTCTTCGCTCATCCTTGTCGCTTCATTATTAATATTAACCGTTGATTTGGATTCTTTCGCTAAATCTAAACCAATGGTTAACCGAACCGGGTGGTTAAAATAAGTCTTCACCGTTGTCTTTTCAAAGAATGCCGGTTAATGATGTTATTGTCTGAATCCATAACGGTCTTCTTTTTGATTGGACGATACCAGTCGCAAAAAGAAACAAAAACAAAATATCTTCCTCGTATAACAACTTTTCACTTGGACCACCTCTAAGAGCATCCCCATTAATTTCTTTTTTTTTTTTGATTTGCTTTTTCTAAAAAAAAAAACAAAAATTAATAACGGACTAATCGCAGAAGCCACGTGGCGAACTCCGTATGAATCGGGTTCATCCCGACGAACCTCCAAGACCCGGGTTCACCAAAATCAACATATTTTTTTTTATTTTTTTCTCTTGATCCGCGTGTGAACCTCCCCCACGAACCTTCAATGCGGATGCTCTAATTAATTATTGTCATGTCTCATGGTTGTAACTTAAAGCGAAACTCCACACAAATTATTATCTAAGAACACTTGCATTATTTGAACAAAAAAAAACAAAACACTTGCATTTACTATTTATTTTGCATAAAAATAATAGAAAAAGAAAGAGAAAAAAATTGAGGATATTTATTTAACATTTTATTTATTATTTAAAATTTAAATATATTGTAACTAAAACATACTTATTAAAGTATAACTAATATATTAATGAAAGATTTCAACAAGTTACTTTAGATAACTGTGATAAGGCGGAACTCAGTTTAGTCCACATACAAAACATCTGTGAAACTGTGAACATGTAAAACCGCTAACGCAACAGTCACAGGGAAAATCTCAGATTTGTTTGTCACGATGGCTTCCCTATGAGTTTCAGGTATGCCATGGTATGTTTGTAGAATCAAAACCGGAGCACGGAATCTCCCCGAAAAGGCAAGGGCTTGACGTTTCTTTTTGTGCCAAATGTGACTAAATAAATTACCCATCCATCCTTTTGGTGCATCACTTTTTGGTACTCCATGAACTAAAATGCTAATTTGTATGCCCAAAATCCAAAATCGTTTCCGTTTAGTGTTCAACCTTTTGTAACTGTGTCCTAATCTCTCGTTGATTCTAAAGAAAAAAACTGAGAAAGAGGCTTTAATTACTGATTTTGGACCTCATTTATGAATATTTTCTAAGTTCTTTTATAATCTATATATATATAACCAATGCATGCACAGTCTAGATTATAGAGAGATCCATATATAGTTGGTTTTGCTTATAAAAAACAACACTATTTGCCTATTTGGTTTATTACACTGTTAGATAACTCATACGGTCAGCTAAAGATCAACCCAAGAAAGACGGCCGAAGTCAGCCACGTGGCTTTTATTGACTCTTAAGCTACGACAAATATAAAGAAATTACGCCGATTCACGTTTGTCCATTATGTAGCCTTGTTTGTTCGTTCAGTGTAACCAAAATAAATTGATGTAACTGCTCGTTCACATTTTACGTACCATGGTATATTCTTAGTCTAGACATACATACCAGAGAGCACGGTGTAGTCATATAACAAGAAATGTACGTTAGAAAAATAGTATGTAAAGTGAGACTGAAATAGTTTAGGTTATCCTGTCTTTATTAGACAATATGCGTGCGTGTAGATATACGACCTAAAATTATATTTGAAAGTGTTTCTTTTTCTTTTTGGGCTCTTTCTCTCATCGCATACACATGTAAATAAGATTTAAGTAAGAAAATACTTAGGAGAAACACAGAGGTCTCTTAGCTTTATATATAATAGTTGCATATTCCCCGCGCAAGCGCGGGGCCGGGATCATTATATTTGCGTGTATTTTTTTCGATTGTTGGTTTAGTGGATTCTTCTAATGACACCAATTAATAATGAAATGGAGAATTTCATGTTTTTATATCGTATGTCAAAACTTGATATAATTCTATATTTATAATATTTATATTTGTATTAAACGATTTATCAATATGAAAATAACCTTAATTAAGTTAATATTCGTTGTTTAAGTTTCATTAGATAGATTTTTATATATGGTTTTTTGTAAGTTTCGGTTTTGTTCATAAATGATGTGGCATTTTTATCTACGGAGTCATCGACTGTGAGAATTCATTCGCCGAAGTCTGGAGTCGGTGGTGAGAAATATTTTCAATGAAATTATAATAGTTATTAAAATGTAAGAGAAATTACATATTCATTTAATAAATAACTTACTTAAATTTTGCTGTTTATTTTATTTTATTTCACATACAATTTTTTTTGAAAAATATTAGGAATGTGTTAAATGTTATTTATATGCGAAGTAAGGTTTATAGGAATAGTTAGGCTATAATATAGTTTTTAATGTGTAAAAGTAGGTGTGTTTTTTTTTTTTTGCTGTAAATAGTTTTTATATCCTAGATCAAAACTTGATATAATTCTATATTTACTAGATCCTTTTTCCGCGCTACGCGCGGATAAGATATTTAAATTTGTTACATTTATCATTTCTATTTGTATGTGGAATTTTGTATATTAATTTTTTTAACTTAATTTTAAACTTGTTTTTTTATATATTTTTAGTTTGAAGTAAGTATTTGAATATAATTCATTAGTGGTAATTGATTATTTAGCTATATAATTATCTTCAATATACCATGAAATTTATACTATTGTCAAATATGTTTTTATTATATGTAACACAATTAACTAATAAAATAGAAAGAATCAAATTTGAGATTTTAGAACTACGTTAAAAAAAGGAATAGAACATAAATTATCTTAATTTAAATGATGATAATCTCATCTCGAATAAATTCACGAAAATAAAAAATACTCTAATAATCTACCTAAAATATAAAACCTCTTTTTTAGAAAAACGTACTTAATAATATTTTTTTATGTGTAATAGTTGATTTTATGTGTGTTTGCACTAAGCATATTTAATTTATAGATTTTATATTTAATAACACATTGTTGCGTGTCGTCCTATGATTTTAATAAATGTGTTGTCATTTTATTTTTATTATTACTAATATGATTTTTTAGTGATCAGTGATAATGTACCTTTAACATTATATATTTTATCGTATATTTTCTATTTAGAATTTCCGTTCTTCTTGCTGGCATTTTTTTAGAATAATTTTAATTGGATAATAGGTTTAAAGATGTAAATAAAACTGTATATGTTGTAAATTTAGACTTCTAGTGTAAATGAGCACAATCAATTATGGAAATTAAATTGTGTTTTTATTTTACTAAATCTTTTTTTCTGTGTATATTTTTTGTGTTATTTTGTATTTTTACAATTTATTGCCTTAATATTTAATTGTAGTGAATTATTATTTCCAATTTGTGTACCTTGATTCTACCTTTTCTATATTATTATTTAAATGATCTGGTATTTTTTAGTAGTGTATATAATATTTACATTGTCTACTATTTTGCTATAAAGAAAAAAATATCATGAAAATATTAGTGTGACTGAAAATATTTATCAGAAATATACAATATGTTTTTATGATATTTATTTTTTGTCATTATTGAGTCTATATATATATGAAAAAAATATTTATAAATAAGTTGTATGTTGTTGTTGTATATATCATATATTCACTTTTTAATAATTCAATATTATATATTATTCGGACGTCATTTCAATTACTTTCTTGGACTAACTTCCAATAATAACTCATTTTTATTCCACTTTTATTCCTTTTAGATAATATATTATT